AGAGTGTGTGTGTGTGTGTGTGTGTGTGTGTGTGTGTGTGTGCTGCAGGTGCGTTCGGGGGGTTCGGCTCCACCACTACCTCCGCCGGCGGCACCAGCTTCAGTTTCTCCACGCCGTCAAACACAGGTAGAGTTGATAGTGTGTGTGTGTGTGTGCGACTGTGCATGTGTGTGTGTGTATTAGTGTGTGCGTGTGTGCATATTAGTGTGTGCGTGTGTGCATATTAGTGTGTGCGTGTGTGCATATTAGTGTGTGTGTATATTAGTGTGTGTGTGTGTGTGTATATTAGTGTGCGTGTGTGTGAGTGCGTGTCTGACAGGAAGTGCTGTCTGCAGGTGCGAGTCTCTTCGGAAACACTCAGAGTAAGGGCTTTGGTTTCTCGTCTGGTCTGGGCTCGAGTGGAGGTCTGGGTGGTGCTGGACTGGGCTTCGGAGGATTCGGTGGGATCCAGACCGCTCAGAACCAGCCGGGTGAGTCCGACCGCGTCTGAGAGCTCCTGCTCTCTCTTGAAACACACACGGATTTCTTCCTCTTGGTTCGGTTTTGTGTAACACATTTCCCATTATGAATTATGAGAATAATGGGAATAAATTAATTTTCAGTCGGGCCAAAAACCACCTGATTCAGACGATCTCAGACCAGCTGTTCTGGTGCAGATGAAGTGTGATTGCAGTGTTTATGTATTTATAAAAGACTGAACGAATCAAACTAAGAGAGAAGATGCAACATGTTCAGAAACAGACGCTCTGAACGAGCCGGTGTGTGTACACTGAGTGTGTGTGTGTGTTTGCAGGAGGCCTGTTTAACCAGCAGGTGTCTCAGTCCAGTCAGCTCTTTAACACAGCCAGCGCTCTCTCTGCTCCGTCGGTCCTCAGCGACGAGCGCGACTCCATTCTGGCCCGATGGAACCAGCTGCAGGCCTTCTGGGGAGTAGGGAAGGGTTACTACAGCAGCAGCACACCGCCGGTGGAGTTCAGCCAGGAGAACCCCTTCTGCCGCTTCAAGGTCTGACCCTGAGCTCTCTCTCACGCACGCACGCACGCACACACACTGAAAAAAGAAAAAGAGCTTCACTCATTCTGAGTTTAAGCATTTAATTGACGTGATATTGTGCACCAGCTTTCCTTTGTTAAAAATTTTGTCGTAATGTTTCTGACATTGTTATAAATGTGTGCAGTGCATTTGGATCATTTCTAATGGAGGTCAGCTGGTTCTTCAGATTTTCAGATTGTGTTGAAATGACAGCTAGATATTTTTTTAAAGGGGTCATATGATGCGATTTCAATTTTTCCTTTCTCTTTGGAGTGTTACAAGCTCTTGGTGCATAAAGAAGATCTGTAAAGTTGCAAAGACTAAAGTCTCA